AGGTTCTCCTGGCACGGGTATGTGTCGCGCAGCTTGTGGAGACCAAGTGGTAATGATCAGCAGCATACCTGCAAGCAAGATATCAAGTACTGCTTTGCGGCATCTTTCTGCACTCAGACTCTGACAAAAGTCACAACATCAGGGCACCCTAGAGCATTGGTCACGACCGCTGCAAAGAGGAAGGCGAAAACACCTCCTTCCTCAGCATATGCCAGACTGAACCGGCACCTGCCTTCCAGTCTCTGAGGGCCATACCAGAAACATGCTGAAGTCTGCTGAGACCTGACATTCCGACCCTTTCCCTCCGCTGCAACGCTTCCAATCCTGCATTCCCTTGCCTTTTTGCCTCGCCAGTGGAGTTGGCACACAGCGGCCCATATGGTGACCAGCCATGGAAAGGACAAACCTCGGCGAATCCGAATCTGTCGGGTGTGCGTGTGTGCGTTTGTGTGCTTTGTGCGTTTTCGGACTCCAAAATGGTAGCCTTCCTTTTGGCTTTCCCTTTACTACCCAAACACACACACACACACACACACACAACCTATGCAATTCTGGTCAGCCCAAAACAAACTCTGAGCCCCGCCGGATTTCCCAAGTGCTGCGAAGAGCCGCAGAAGAGAGCCTGGATCGATGACCGGCTGACGGCAGTCTCGTAAAACGACGTCGGAAAAGGAAAAAGACTGGCCTCGAAACGAGTGTGGAAGACAGCGGCCGGGCAAAAACCACACAACCCTTGGTTCAGCATCAATGCCGCATCAATACCTCTTCAAAATGCTGGCATGCACACAATCGACAAAATTGGTCAGCCAGGGCACAGAAGAACAAGGGTCTGAATAAAGGGCCAGACACCATTCAAAAAGCCCAATACGATTGCAGTGGTTCGAGCACCGCTCTTCCACGCGTCATTGGCCGCTGGCAGCAGAGTCAGCTTTGCCATGGTCCCTGACCATGTCCACTCCCCCGAGGGTGCGCCACCCAGCAGCAGATCCGCATGGATGCTGGCAGCCACAGACAAGTCTGCCCAAATGTAGAACCAGCCTATGCAGCTACCGACACCACGAAAGTGCTTCATTCTTTCACTTTTTGCTTAGTCGGGAAACCCGCACGCGTACCCAGGTTTTCCATATCCCCAAAATCCAAAAGATCCAATCGAGCAGCAGCACGCCACGGCGCTGGCCGGGTACAGCACCCGCACCACGCAAGGCACGGAGGGGCTGAAGGCTAGCGGCAGCTGCGCCACAGCGTCGAAGGTGTCGGGGTTCCGGGGCGCTGAGGCCATGGTCATGGTGGTCGTCTGGCTGCTGCAACCTCGCGTTCACAAGGTCAAACCTTTACAAACCCGCGAAACTCTGAAAAGAGTAAAGTCTAAGATTCCAAACCTCTCAGAGACGAAAGCTCTCGAAGACCAAAGGTTGGAACTCCCAGTAGCCTCGGCGGTCGTTCTCTTCGGGTTCGCCAAGTCGCTGGGCGTCTCCGTCCGCTCATCTCCCAGCAACGCCCGCGCCGCGCGCGCCTCGTTGTGGCGGCGGCAGCGCTTCACCGACAGGACCACCAAAGCCAGCAGCGCGAGGAGCGTGAGCAACGCCGCCGAGCCCCACCCTGCATACTCCCACCCCAGGTCCTGGCACGGAAAAATCGGGTGATGGTTTCTCTTGGTGTCCCTTCAAACAAATTCCCAAGAATATCCTCAGAAGACAACCTGGTATGTCCACTTTCCAAACATAGGCCCCATCCCATCCCAGGTCCTTGCTCCAATTGCTCATAGCATCTGACAAAAGGCTGTCATGGCTCATGGTGCCATTTCCATCAGGCTCAATGTGAACCCAAGCGGTCCAATTTCCAGAGCCCCAGTTGACTCTCCAATTTCGAGAGCCAGCCTTTCCAAGCTCTGGAAGAATGTAAGCCTGGGAGCAACCTGATGCAAAATATCGGGGTGCCACTGGCTGCGTGTCTTGTCGACTCGTTGTCTGTGAAACTTACACTGGGCCACCACGGCCTCGTCGATCAGAAACTTGCACTTGGTCAAAGAACAAGATGGGCCACGGTCAACATTCACCATAGCAGCACCCAAAACCCCATTGACTCTTGGCTCTACTAGGATGGTTGTAAAGGATAAAACCGGCCATACTGCAATCCTTGTAGTAGAACCACCTTCTGAAAAGGCCAACAGGCTTTGGGCGCTGCTCCGCTGTTCCCCTAGCGACATGGCAATCCTTGGCCCAATCACATGCGTTTTTACAGAAGATGAAGGTGAGTATGTCCACCGTGGACCAGATCTTTCTGCAAGTCTCAACCGCACTGCAGCTTCAACCTGCAAGGGCAAGTTCCAGCCTTGGGAAGATCTGACTTTGACCCGCTGGCAGCAGATTTGGGCCTCAGCGCCGAACAAAAGGCCGGACAACTGGATCAAACCAGTGCCCGTTGAACTGATTCTAACAAATGGGTTCCAAATGGATGCAAAAAACTGCCGAATTGTTGGTGTGAGCGATCGGAACCCGTTTGTTAGAACCTTTAAATAGGTCTCCTGAGTCAGCTCAGGAGGTGGCTGGGGGCTTGCCTTTGCCTTGGGCTTCTGTGTCGGAGCTTCGTCCTGGCGTTTTACAACGAAGGCTTTCACAGGCGAAGCTTCAGCGCAAAAACGTGCAAAAGAAAAAGACTCAGCCTGATGGTGGGCAGTGGTGGGCCCATTCCGTGTTTGTTGAACTCATCCAAGGTGTTTCCTACAAAAGGAAAGCCCCGGTTGACTCTGTTTGAGGGTTGAACCCAAGAAGGCTGAGCTCTTGGAAAGCATCCAACGAAATCCAGCGCACGGGCCTCATCCAGATCAATCGCTGCCCTGGAGCCGGAAGCATCCAGGCGGAAGCGCTTCTTTGGCGATCCTGCAAACTGACAAAGCTGCATGGCGAATCTTGGATGAAGGATCCAGTGTAATGTGAACCTCGGATGAATCCGGACCAGACTGGGTTGTTCAATGGAGGATCCCTCATCCTAATCGCCCCGCAGTAGGACACCCGCACATCAAGGGAAACGACCACAGGAATCGTTCTGAGTATATGACCCAGCTGTTCAATCGCCGTGCAAGTCCTGCAGATTTGCTTGCTGGGTCTGGCCTCAACGTGAGCAGCGCCCGAAGCCAGTTGACTTTGGCTCTACTAACATGGTTATAAAGACAACTTTCTTCAGAGTCCCAAAATAGTCCCCTCAAAAAGATCACATGTGGCAATTGCCGCACCGCCGCTTCACTCAGGCGAAGGCTTAGTGTTGCGCTTCTTGGGTGCCATGCGCCAAGTCGCTGCACGGCTCTATGGCTTGTGCCACGTTTGGGTTGCATGCTTCTTGGCCAGAAATAGACCTGCAAAAAAATGACTTAGTGCTCAAGGAAACAAAGGAAACCAAAAGGCCAGCTAAGTCTGGCAATGGCGCCTGGTATTTTAGCACCGACTCCGCACAGTACTTTAACCGTGGCAAATGTCTCACGGTCGCAGAGCTTGATTGCAATCAATATGTGACGAAGCTCTCTCTCTCTCTCTCTCAATGTCTCAATGAAGGATATTGGCTACGGATGGCGACCCGGGCTACTCGACAAACCTATTTTGTTGCGCTGCTCTGATCAGTTGAGTTGATTGCCTGCCCCCACTTTCAGCTTGCGGGAGAACAAATTGGCGGCACGTTCCATCAACGATGGCATCTTGAAAACGCTCACAGCACCTTCACCCAGCCCATGCAACAGCCCCTGCAACTTAGGGAACAGTTCCCAAATGTGGCGACAAGAGCTCTGCGAACTGAAAAAGCCAATGATTCGTGTGCCAACAGCTACTTCGAGTTTCACAGTGCACATTCAACCTTTCCATCACTTCGAACGGCCCTGACACCATGGAGCACGAAAACCATCAACGCACAAGTCCTGTTGCACACCTAACAACGTACAACAGCTACAAACCTTACGAGGGTCAATGAGCGGCTCGGATGCAACATCTGAAGCAGAAAAAAACGTTCTGGTTGTTGGAGCATTTGGTTCATTAAGATCCTCACTGATCCTCACACAGTGTCACTTTCTGTCCTGGATGCGACGCTCCTCTGCTTGTTTATCCGTCTGTCTGTCTTCGTCTTCGTCCTCATCAGAGTGTTGGGTGCGCCTTTCTGGCTTCTGGGTTGGTTCTCCGTCTGAGAGGACAAACGAAAAAGCACTGGCTGCAGTGAGTGAAGCTCTTGGTCAGAAAATGCCACCAACAACCTGTATGTATGCGGCAAAGCAAAATGGTCCATGCATCGCACATGTGCTCATTTGGCTTTTTCGCTGATTTGCAACATCTCGAGCCTTTCTGGCACCTTAAGCCGAAAAGGGGCAGCTCTATCCGAGGATCGAAGATGCATATCGTATGCACGTCTCAGCCCCCCACAACAG